AATTGACACAGCCCACCCAGACTAATCTGAAAGAGGATTGCTGCTGAAGAGGCAAGGCAGCGAGCCACACAAATTGAATGGTAAGACTAGAGATTGACTCATGACCTTGGCATGGAATAGATCCAGTGACAGGAGCTGGAACAACTGGATCTTGGCTGGTGCCTTTCCTCAAAGAAAACTGATAAATCCTGAATATTCCATTTATGTGTAACAGCTGTAGCATTGTCCCTACAGAGTTTGTGATAAATTTCTGAGCACTGCTAAATTAACTCTTACTGTACCAGCTTGAAGGAAATCTGTTGTATCTGGAAGAATTAACACACATCCAAGGGGACAGAAATATATTTAAGACTAAATAGAATGCTGTGACCTTAATCTTGTGAAAGGTCCTGCTTAGCTAAGGAAACACTGTTTTATTTTATTGTTTTATGTGTTTATTTTATGCTTCTGATGGTACAGAATCAACAGTTTGGGAAGCTTAATGCCTATGTGCCAAGAGAAGAGGTCAGAATTCTCTGAATTCTAACTTGTAGAGAATTCTCTAAGAATGAGAAGACAGCTCAGGTTTTAGGTCTAGTGTCTTAAATTGTCTCCTCTTTTACAGACTCCAGTAGTTTCAAAGACTCACTGTAGAGTAACTTCTCAACCTAAATGTCAATTGACATTTATTTACAAAACAGAAACAGACTTACAGACATAGAACACAAACTTATGGTTACCAAAGGGGGAAGAGCGGGGAGGGATAAATTAGGAGTTTGGGATTAGCAGATACAAACTACTATGTATAAAATAAACAACAAGTCCTAGTGTATATATCACAAGGAACTATATTCAATATCTCGTATAACCTATAATGGAAAAGAATATGAAAAATATATATATTTAAAATTGAATCACTTTGCTCTACACCAGAAACTAACACAACATAGTAAATCAACTATACTTCAATTTAAAAAAAAAAATGTAATAAATAAGGTAGAGTAGCTTCTGTTTTCATCACTTTTGACAATTATTTTTATCATTACAGATGAACCTGTGTTCCAGCCTGTGTTCTCAAGATAACCCCTCCAATGACTATCTTACAGGGCCACCATGATTACCAGATTACTGGATCTTCTAATCTCTTTAAGTGGAAAACCACAGGGTAACAATCTGAAGTCACAAGACAGACGTAGCAAAGTCTAGAGCTTTAAAACCATTTTGACTAGTGCCAATTTGACTAGAGTTGTCCGTAGTTGAGACAGAAGCAAATGTTGTATGTATTTACGTTCTTTCCTCCACCACCTTTACTGTCTGACAGTAGCCAAGTCAACACTATTGCAGGAGACAAAGTGATTCACACTGTGTTTTGTTACATCCTGAGGTGAGAAGAGTAGGGTTATCCCCTCTTCTCTCTACAAGGTCAAGGTCATCCAAAATTACCCATTGATTCACTGTCCTGGAAATATTTTAAATGCTACTTCAGTAGATTCCCAAAGTATTACATCATCCCTTGAGATGACAACAGGCTGGTAGAAAAAAAAAAACAGTGGAAGAAGTGAAAGTTCCAAGTAGTCAGCCTTTCATAGCTACGTTTTTTTTGCCTAGGAAACCTCATCCATTTCCCCTGCTTTAGCCACCGCATATATGCTTATGACGCCCAAATCTATATATCAACACGACACCTCTCCTCTAAACTCCAGACCCCTAACTCCAACTATGTAGTGAACATCTTCACCTGAATTTCTCTTAGGCACCTCAAACTAGATAAGACTAAATGTGAACCTGTCTTACCTTTTCCCAGAACTTGCTCTTTTCGTCTTCCCCTTTCTCATCTACCTCCTCATCCAAACTAGAAACCTGGATGTCATCTTTGACACTTTCCTCGACTCTACTCGTAACTCGGGTCAGCCTCAGTGCTCACGCTTTACTCCATCCTCTTCATCCCGTCACTGCCAGGTTCTGATCATCACTTGCTTGGACTACTCCCATGGCCTTCTAACTGGCCTGTCTCCACCAGCCTTGGACCCCTCAAATCCATCCTCTGCGCTACTGCCAGAGAGCTCTTTCTTGATTCAAATCTCATGTGTCTCTTAAAACGCTTTATGGTTTCCCACTGCTGAGAGCAGCATGGTGCTATCAGGTACTTCAGCAGGCAGTTTACCTGCTTCTCCAGCCTCGTCTTTTCCCCTCTACCTTCTGTTGCCTTTGCACCTTACACTCCAGCAGGAGTGAATTGTAATTCTGGAGAAACCCCTAGTAAGCCTTCCGCATCCATGCCTGTGCCATGTCCTAGAATTATCTATATCCTGATCTCCATTCCTCTGTTCCCGAACTGCCTGATAAACTCCTTCCTCTGCATTATGTCAAATCCTCTTGGTAGGTCATTTTTCCCAATCTAGACAAGTTTAATCGCTCCCTTTCCTTTATTACTATGCATACATGCAACATATAGAAGAACACACCGAAGCCACCCCTTACACATTATTATGAATACTTATTTACACTTCTGCCTCCCCAGATTGTCACTTATTAAAGGCACAGGCCATTTTGTATTCAATTTTATAACCCTAATGCCTAGCATGGTATCTAGTATACTGTACACTCAAAAAATACTAGCTATTGAAGAGGATTCTAAAATTTATTCAGTTACATAAAAAGAGCACCACTACACTGAGACTTATTTATTTATCCTACAAAAATCACATAAATATATCTTTGTCAGATGATCAATCAGATGGTTGAATATTCTTTTTCTCTGTAAGTCTGTTTCAGTCCCTTCAGAAATCCAAAGATCACATACAGATGGCCAATAGGCACATGAAAAGATGTTCAACATCACTAATCATTAGAGAAATGCAAATCAAAACTACAATGAGGTATCACCTCACACCACTCAGAATGGCCATCATCAAAAAATCTTCAAACAATAAATGCTGGAGAGGGTGTGGAGAAAAGGGAACCCTCTTGCACTGTTGGTTGGAATGTAAATTGATACAGCCACTATGGAGAACAGTATGGAGGTTCCTTAAGAAACAAAAAAATAGAGCTGCCATATGATCCAGCAATCCCACTACTGGGTATACATCCGGAGAAAACGGTAATTTGAAAAGATACGTGCACCCCAGTGTTCACTGCAGCACTATTTACAACAGCCAGGACACGGAGGCAACCTAAGTGCCCAGCGACAGGAATGGGTAAAGAAGATGCAAATATATACACAATGGACTATTACTCAGCTATAAAAACGAATGAAATAATGCCATTTGCAACAACATGGATGGACACAGAAATTATACACTAAGTGAAGACAGAGAAAGACATATATGATATCACTTATATGTGGAACCTAAAAAAATGGTACAAATGAACTTATTTACAGAACAGAAATAGAGTCACAGATGTAAAACACAAACATAGTTATCGGGGGGAAAAGGGGAGGGATAAACTGGGACATTGGGGTTGACATATACACACTACTATGTATAAAGTAGATAACTAATACGGGCCTACTGTATAGCACAGGGAACTCAATACTCTGTAATGACCTATATGGGAAAAGAATTAAAAACGAGTGGATGTATGTATAACTGATTCACTTTGCTGTACAGCAGAAACGAGCACAACGTAAATCAACTACACGCCAATAAAAAATTAATTAAAAAGAAATCCAAAGATCTTCACTCAGAAAAATATTCAAAAACTAAGCTCAAAACACCACAACTGCTCAGTACTATTAGATCCATTCTGTGGGGAAAGCTATAAAGTGCTATATAACTGGCTACTGGTATTGGTATTATGGCTGTGGTTTGTATATACACACACTTTTAGGTACATGTCTTATCTACTCCCCCAATGAGACAGAAGTACAATCTGTGTCTTTTATACTGATCTGCTTCCCTGCGTCATTCCCCACACAGTGTCTGCTCAACAGACATACAATCCTGGTTGTAATAATAATGGTGAAGTTGACAGGGAGCCTGTATTAATGGAAAGAATACTAGCCAGCAGCAAGGACCCTGGAGTAGTGTGATAAAAAGTAAAAAAAAAAAAAGAGAAGTCCCTGCCCTTAATGAGCTTATATATAAATGAGAAGTAACATGAGGAAGTAACAATTTTGAGGACCTATTATGTATAAGACCCTGGTTTTGGCACGATATAAATTATTTAGTCCACACAAAAACTGAGATACAATCATTATTGTCTCTATTTTATAGTACTCTAAATGGCAAGTGTTTCTATGTCATATTTGAAATAAGCTTAAAAACTCATACTCAAAATTTTATATGTCCATCCCAGTGATCTTCAGACAACTACACAATATAAAGATTTTTTTTAAACTATAGTTTTAGGGACTTCCCTGGTGGTGTAGTGGTTAAGAATCCACCTGCCAATGCAGGGGACACGGGTTCGAGCCCTGGTCCAGGAAGATCCCACATGCCGTGGAGCAACTAAGCCTGTGCACCACAACTACTGAGCCTGCGCTCTAGAGCCACAACTGCTGAGCCTGCGTGCCATAACTATGAAGCCCGTGCTTCACAACAGGGGAGCCACCGCAATGAGAAGCCTGCACGTTGCAATGAAGAGTAGCCCCCGCTCACCGCAACTAGAGAAAGCCTGTGCAGCAGCAAAGACCCAATGCGTCCAAAAGTAAATAAATTTATTAAAAATTTAAAAATAAGACTATAGTTAATAGCTTTGCAGCAAAGGCAGTAAAATGCAGTGAATTAGAGTTCCTGCTCTAGAGTCAAGACTGCCTGGCATGCCCTCCTGGCGTGCCATCCAGGCTCTGCCTCATGTGACCTGTGTTTTCTTGGTTACTTTATTACACCCTCAGAACTTCAGTATTTGCCTCTGTGAAATAGAGTATAATACTCTATTTTATGGGATGAATGTGAAGATTAAATGATATACCTGTAAAACCCTTAATAAAGATTTAATAATACCAATACTAGTAAATTCATAGCAATAAAAGCTAAATTTTTTTTTTAAAAAGTATGAAAAGAGAAAACATTACTTACAGAAGCCAGTAATCTTCCATCTTCCTTCATAGCAAGGTAACGGTTCGCACACACTCCTTTGATAGACACAACCCCTCTCTCTTCTGCTTGAAGTTGTAGTTTGACTATAAGTAATGGAGAAAAAATTACCTTTGTAGCATCATAGAAAAAAGCAGCATCTACATGTTTATGCAACATGCAGGGTAAAGACAAGAGGCACTTGTGCATCCAGCCAAGGAGCTGGGGGACAGGGGCCAGATGTCAATTAAATTCTGTTAGAATGAGAGGCAGACCCACTAAAGTATGAGTGCTTCTTGACTCCCCTCTCAATCCAGTGTCAGTGAGCGGATAAGAGTGACAGATGGAGAATTTTTTTCCCTTCATGTGTAATTAGCCTCCACTTGGCCCTGTTAACTACTTAGATTTTTTTTTATGAACATATTTTAAGAGTACATAAATATATAAACTACTTATGAGAATTTCCATACTACTGCCTAACTTTAAACTCTTTAAAAGTTATTTTAACCAATTCTTCACAAATAAAATATAATTGCTCACTATTATCTTTTGGTTTGTATTTCCTTGAGTTTCCTCACTTCTTATTTCTAGCTTCCCCTTCAATACAATCAATACCAAATGCAGTTATCTTTCTTTATGGAGGGATTGTGATATATAGATTTTTTTTTTGCAAATACCTATTGGGAAAACAAAATGTTTATGCTTAATTTGCTTATAGTGTGATGAAAGGTTTTCAGAATGTAAGATCCTGAAGAGGATGACCTATGTGTTACACTACATTATCAATATTAAGCAGACTGTTGAAAAACAAAAAAATAGATATTACATGATCATGATGATAATGCCATAGGGACAAATAATCATCTAATTAATTCAGTTAAAATTAAGTTCAAAATCTGTTTTGCTATTCAGAAGCAGCATTCTCCTGCCTAGAACAGCATTCCCCAAAATGTATTTTGGCTGACAGAGATTACTTAAAAAACAGGTTCTGGGGCCAAATAAATTTAGGAAATTCTTGGTTAAGTCAAGTTAACTCTTTATTGTCAAACTTCTCAGAACTTTGCCTCTCATAACCTGCATTATAAATCACCATAAGGGGATCAAGTATACAGTGTGTATAAAATGTGCTTGGGTCCCAGAACAAGTTTTTTCATAGGCTATTCTGTGGCCTATAAACATATCTAGGACATTCTTGAGAGCAACAGAAAAAAGCAGTGAATATTCAAAATTTTAGAAATCAGAATAATATTATTTGGATAACATTAGAAACATAAAGTAAATTTAATTTTCCCAGGTGAACCCGGGCAGCTAGGAAACATGGCACTAAAAGGCAATGTTTGAAAAATTCTGGAATTACTATTAACTTTGTTAGACATAATTATGTCATAGTAATTATGTTTTAAATTTTTTCCTACCAGGTAGAACAACATACGGGTAAAATGAGATGTAACATCTGGGATTGGCTTTAAAATATTCCAGGAAAAAAATTAAAATATTCCAGGAATCAATCAATATTTTTTTAATAAAATGGGTGGGATAAATAAAACAAGATTGATTAACCTATGTCAATAGTTATTAGAAGCATGGGAGTTCATTATTCTCATTAATGAATGTTTGAGAATTTACATTTTTTATAAAAAGATATTTGTTGGACATTTAATGTCTGATTCTCCTCTGTACCAGTCACTCCAGGTGAAATTCTTCTACAGAATCTTAAAAGACAGTACAAAGTAAAAGGAATATAATCAAGACATGAAAACTAAACGGAGAAAGGCATAAAGTCTCTTTCAAAACATTATGGGAAACTGTAGAAAATAAGATTTTTTTCTTTTTTTTTTTGCGGTACGCGGGCCTCTCACTGTTGTGACCTCTCCCGTTGCGGAGCACAGGCTCCAGACGCGCAGGCTCAGCGGCCATGGCTCACGGGCCCAGCCGCTCCGCGGCATGTGGGATCTTCCCAGACAGGGGCATGAACCCGTGTCCCCTGCATCGGCAGGCGGACTCTCAACCACTGCGCCACCAGGGAAGCCCAAGATTTATTTTTAACAAATATAAGCAAAATTAATGATTATGAATAAAAATCCTTGTATATGGCTCTAAAGTGATGTAGATAAGCCATATTAATTATGAATGCATTTGCATCTCTTTTTAACTCATATGGTTGTATAAATGCTCCTGAAGCAAGACTGCATAGTCAATCACTATGCTTTTTTCCCAGCACTTTATCAATAAACTATAGCCTAGCCCACCATCTTGTAATGTGTATTACTGGTCATAAGGCAGATTATGGATATTAATGTGTGGTCAGTACCTGCAACTCAGTACCCAAAGTAAATGTCATCATTCATTTATTTATTCATTGGCCTTTCACAGATTTCTTGGGATTCCACATTAGGATACTGTCATTTGATAAGCCACTAAAAAGTAAACACTAATTGTAGATGCCTGAAAAGTGTTTCCATTAACATATAACTATAAAAATATAAACTTTAAGGGTTTCCCTGGTGGCGCAGTGGTTGGGAGTCCGCCTACCGATGAAGGGGACACGGGTTCGTGCCCCGGTCCAGGAAGATCCCACATGCCGCGGAGGGGCTGGTCCCGTGAGCCATGGCCGCTGAGCCTGCGCATCCAGAGCCTGTGCACCGCAACGGGAGAGGCCACAACAGTGAGAGGCCCGTGTATCGCCAAAAAAAAAAAAGTATATATATAAACTTTAAAAGTAACCAAAGCCTGAAACCAATAAGAAGCTGGAAAATCCACAAAATCATAGATTTTCTTTAAAAACCCATCAGAGCTGAGATGCAAAGAGACCTAAGTAAACTAAATTTCACATACAGATGATCCCTTCCCCCACCAAAAAGATGACCTGCTTCCATCTTTGACAGGAAGAAGACTAACCCTGTCAAAATGGGGAGTGTAAAGAAACCAGCTGAACTTTTACAAACTTTAAGTGCTGCTGACGTGAAGAACTGGATTTCTAAGGAGCCCTAATCAAACAGCAATTCCATACCCACCTGCCAGTTCTCTCCTACAGAGCTTGCACCTAGTGCACAACCATCACACACCAGAGGCAGAGGACAGAACAGAAGGGCTAAGAGATCCTTCTGAAGCACCTAAGGCTTTGCTGAGTGCAAAGCAGCAGTCCACTGACAGCTGGGAGTGGAACAGAGCTGAGAAAGAGCCCTCTGAGCATCACTGAGCCTTCACCAAATGAAAAGCAGGATGAAGAGAGATCTTCAAAAGACAATGGTAGATTTCAAGAGCAAGGATAATCCTGACCTACCCAAATAGTTAATAGCTGGGCTATTTTTGTCTTAGACAAAATGGAATATGAAAAAGTACTCAACCCAAAAGAAGGCAGAAGAAGAGGAACAGAAGGACAAAGAACAGATGGGGAAATTAGAAAACAAATTCCAAGATGGCAGATTAAACCCAACACATCAATAATTGAACTAAATGTAAATGAACTAAACACTTAAAGGAAAAATTGTTAAGAAGTTAAAAGGCAAAACCCAACTATGTTGTCTACAAGGAAAGCACATTAAATACAAAGATACAGGCAAGTTGATAGTAATGTGGGAAAAAAATATAAAATGTATACCCTAATTATAAGAATGCTAGTATGGCTATATTAATATCTGATGTGGACTTCAAGGCAAGTAGTATAACTAGAGATGAACAAAGTTATTTCATAATGATAAGAGGGTCAGATACCTCAAGAAAACATAATAATTTTAAACATGTAGCACATAATAATAGATAATGTGCTATAATAATAAATTGCCTGAAGCAAAAATTCACAGAAGAAATAGATCAGTAAGTATATGGAATATAAGAATAATGTTATCGGCCAACCTGACCTGACTTTTTTTTTTTTTTTTGAGATCAGGTAGGTTTCATTTACCTGAAACTTTAGTCTCTTCTTAACATCACTGTCATTTGAAAACTATGCTAAAAAAAATTAACTCTGCCAGCATGGTAAGTGATCCTATGCTTATTTGCCTAGCGGACTTGTACTATTGGTGCCCCTAGTACTTTTGTTTTTTAACAGTCTGAGACATAATTCACGTATGATACAATTCATTTAAAGTGTACATACAATTCAGTGGTTTTTAGTATATTCACAGAGTTGTGCAACCATCACCACAATCAATTTTAGAACATCTTCATCATCCCACACCTCCTATGGTTCACCTCCTATGTCCCCAATACCACCATCCCCAACCCTAGGCTACCGCTAATCCACTTCCTGTCTCTATAGATATGCCTATTCTGGATATTTCATATAAATGGGATCATACAATATGTAGTCTTTTGTGACTGGCTTCTTTCACTTAGCATATTGTTTTCAAGGTTCATTCACATTATAGCCATGTATCAGTACTTCATTCTTTTTTATTGCCAAATAACATTGCATTGAATAGAGAGACCCCATTTGATCTACCCACCCATCAGGTGATAGACATTTGGTTTGTTTCCAATTTTTGGCTATTATGAATAATGCTGCTATAAACATTCAAGTACAAGATTTTGTGTAGACATATGTTTTCATTTCTCTTGGGTATATACCAAGAAGTCAATATGGTAACTCTTATGTTTAACCATTTGAGAAATTGTCAGACTTTTCCAAAGCAACCATTTCACATTCCCACTAGAAATTAAGGGTTCCAATTTCTCCACATCCAGGCCACATTTGTGATAGTCCGTGGTGGTGTTTTTTGTTTGTTTGTTTTTTCTATTATAGTCGTCCTGATTGGGTGTGAAGTGGTATGTCTTAGTTCTGATTTTCATTTTTCTGATGTTGAGTATCTTTTCATGTGTTTATTGGCTACTTGTATATCTACTTTAGAGAAATGTCTATTCAGATCCTTGGCCCATTTTTTAGATTGTCTTTTTCTCATTGAGTTGTAAGAGTTCTTTATATGTTCTATATACAAACCCTAATTAGATATCTGATTTGCAAATATCTTTTCCCATCCTGTGGCTTGTCTTTTCACTTTCTTGGTATTATCCTTTGATGCATAAACATTTTTAATTTTCATGAAATCCAATTTATTGATTTTGTTTTTTCATTGCTTGTGCTTTTGGTGTCATATCTGAGAAACTA